CACTACACAAACTGTTGCATGTCATCCCGGACTACATATCCCATCATCCATTGCACTGATTGCACACAGCACTGACTGCACACAGCTGTAACCAATCACACATTCACTATATAACACTCACTCAAACAACCATTCAGGGCCGAGTATTGGTTAGCGCATATCACTCACCTAGCGATAGCTACTCTACGGAGCCATTTCTAGTTTTCATAGTTTATTCTTAGTCTTGCCTTGCCTGTTTTCTCGTGTTCTGATTCCTGCCTGTGTTTCTCGGATTGCCCTTTTGTCTCGCCGTTCGCACTCTGTTTGCTCCTGCCTGGACTATTGCTCGTGTTATTGGATTGCCCCTCTTGTCAAGCCCTCTGGATAACGTTTGCTGTCGACTGACTCACGCCCGTTTTGAATTACTCTTCGTCTTGCCCTCATATACCTGTTTGCCATTGTCTGAACCTTGCCTGTTTTATGACCACGCCTTTAAATAAAAGCTTTGCAGATGGATCCGCACGGTCCTCGTCTCGTCGGCTCCGTTACACTTTTAGTCCCGGTGTCCTCATATGAGGACGTGTATGAAATCAGCATCCTGTTTCGTTACAGAAGGTCATATTTTGATTTGAAACCCCATAACATTTTCCTGAGATGTTGATTTATGACACACAGTTTAAAAATTAGTCAGATTTTAATAATTACAAAATATTATCATATTTCCATAAGAGTGTCACTAAATTAAAATAAGACATTTTTGAAGACCAAGTAGAGGGAGTGGTCATAGTGAAACATCCAAACATTTAGCATCTCTGAAAAGCCCTGAATGTGCTCTGTACAGAACATCCAGACTTAAAACTGTGGCATGTATAGTCTCAGAGAAATTCACTAAAATAAAATGTCCTCATATGAGGATGCAGGGTCTCAGGAGGACAACATTTTTAGCCACTAGAGGTCGCTGTTTCTGTTATTTTGTCCTCAAGGATTTGGTTACAATTCGAGTGTCTTGCACCATTTAGTTGAGTACTTGTACTGTTGCATACTAGATGTCATAAAATACCAAAAGAAAGACTCTACGATGTGTAGAATGAGGTTGTCTCTTAAAGGCAAAGCAAATATAATGGTAAATAATGTATTTTATTTGGAGTGACAGAGAATGAAAGTGCAAAGGCATTCAAATTAACCTCAAGGGACATTCCACAGACAGAAATAACAGTAATTGACTGTGTGTATGTGTGTGTAGTTTAAATGGAAAAACATGATCACAGGTATAAATGTGTCAGGACTGTCTGGCAGACTGAAAAAAAAAGAAGTATAATGTAAAATGATTATACACTATTGTAATTGAGATTGTCATTTTTTAAATTTATATATATATATATATATATATATATATATATAAAATCTGATTGGCTGAGAGTTTTTTTTAACTGTGCGATATTGTACCAGTATCAGCATGGGAACTGTTTCACCATTTGTATCACTCATTTAAAGCCATTAAAAAAAAAAAAGGTTACTTGGAATAAAATAATCATGAAATAACTGAAATAAAAAAACTTAAAATTGTTTTATTTCAGCTATTTTCCAAGGCAACATTTCACATTTTAAATTACTTTAACTTTATATACTAAAACAACTAAAACTGAAAGTGAAATGAAAATTAATAAATAATATATAGTCATATCAAAAAATATATATAAAAATGACAAAAACACAGAACAAAGTTACTAAAAATGTAACTAAAATTAACATGAAAGCAGAAAACATAAAATAAAATCTAATTCTAGTATATAATAGTATATAGTATCTCAGTGATAGTAGAATAACAGTGGCAGAAGCAAACCCTCTATAATTTTACAAATACTACTGTATTTCTTTAATCTTAATTCTTTACTACGGTACTGTATATCTTTAATATTTTACCCATAGTTTAATTTCAAATGCCACATGGGCCAACCCTTTTTCCCTTACTCCAACTGACACAAATCGATTGAGGCGTTATAGCATGAAAACTCAAAGCCAGGGTAAAGAGGCTGTGTGAATGTGGTGTGAACTCTGTGGAGGAGGGTCATTGAGTCATCAATGCTGTAAAACGCTAGTGTCCCGGCCCTATGATCCAGATAAACGCCTATCTTTGATGAGCCAGGCTCTGAAATCTTACTGACAATCCTGTTGTGCCAGAAAGCATAACCTTTCCTGCAGCAGAACAAACTCCAGGATTTGTCATTGTGACCGAAGTGAGCTTCACTGCTTTCCCCTTTCCTGGCAATGTTTTTGTATGCGACTGCAATGTTTACTCCCATCCCACTCCATTCCACCTCCCAGTAGCTGCAGCCTGTCAGGCCCTCCGTGCCCAGCACCTGGCACCAGTAATCAAAGCGCTCTGGGTGGTCGGGAC